ATAACACAACACACATCACGGTCTAATAGGATTTAGTTATCTGGTAATTATTCGAATGTTAGATTTGTAATTAATCAATGATAAGTGGTTGTAATGTTTATTGAAAGATTGTTCATTACGAATTTTTTTTACGAATATCTGCGTGGTAAGATCGGATCGCCGTGATCTTTATCGTTTTATTTTAAAGGAATGAAAGAAAACCTGCTTCTATAACGTTGTGGCATTTGTTCAGTGACGCGGGTTACAACAGGATAAAAATTCATGCTGATTGCCCAGCAAAGCCGCGCCGCGCTTTAAAGTGCCGACGTCGGACTTTGATGGGCTCTGCGCTCGTTTTCTGGATTTGTGTTTTAACACCTTGACTTGACTCGCAAACGTATGTTACCGTTGGGTCAGCGACAAGCTAAGTCGCAGCTGCACTTACAAATAACTGCGACGGCATATTTTCAAAGTGTATATTTCGTTAAGATGGACGTGTAAAATAAGGTAGTAAAATAGGAAATAGCAATAAGAAAAATAGAAAACTCGAAAAGTTAATTTCTTCATCGTTCGAGGTAACTTTGTCCGATAATTTCACGGTAAATCGTTGTCGCGATAAATGCAATTCCATAGCTGTGGAGCATAAATACTATGCAAACGTTTCACGGTTCATGCTACTTACATAAAGCGGCGTGTAAACTGGATGTTATACAAACGATCATTAATACGAGATATACCACGAAAAGAAGATGTAATTTCACGTTTATTTATACATTATCGGAGCGGACGATTAAAGTTCTCTCAGCGTGGAAGTAATCCGCTCGTTCGTCAGCTTCGCGGATCGATCTGCATCTTAAGTATGACGCATCGTAACTAATTATATTGACGTTGGTGTACGCGTAACGCTTCCGGGTTGCCGCAACGGAATGTCGTCTCTTGGATCTTGGATCTTGTATCCGATATGTCTACGTGGACATATAGTAGATCCTTTCAAGCACGGCTGACCTGACTCCACGAACGAAGTGCCTGTCCTCCTCTCAATCGATCTCGCTATACGAATAACAATAACTGTCTCTTCTGTATCGATTTTCTCAAACGTTCATGTGCGATTCATAAGCGTGGGATCTGATCTAGGATGTGATGTCTATTTGTTTCTAATAAACGCGCTTAACATAAAATTCATAACTGGTTTCCATTTCCATCGTAATCTCTTGTTGAAAGGCCGCACTTTGTTAAATTCGTTGATACCGGTCGATCTTGAAACTGGGCGAGTCATCTTTAGGCGGTTTTACTGCATGCACCGTTCGAGTTGGTGCGATGGAATGCAGCTCGCTCGATCGGATGCATTAAGCGTACTTTGCGAGTCAGATCGAATGCGATTCTTTCGGCACGAACGTGACAAAACGTGACCTGGTTTTCCTGTGTGATGTAGATTTAAGTCAAAATGAAACGTTTCAAGAATATCACATTCCTATGTTTACCATTTTTTAAAAAAACATTGAGAATTAAATTTCATATAATATAAATTTATATATCATTTATATAACAAGAATATAAATTTTAGCAAGATGCAAAACGCAACTTTGCAATGCCTGACGTTCTAAGATCTTCTAAATATCTTATTCAGATGTTAACAATCCGTTATTCGGTGTTCGATCGTATAATCCGATCGTATTTTTTTAAATATACATATCTGCGAATGTTCCACTGAGTTCTGAATAGCGAATAATTTTCTATAAGCCTCAAGATTAACTTGATAAAATGTTGTCTGCAATTTGTGCGCATTAACATTTAATAGAAAGTATTCAGTATCAATATCTACTAATTGATTTGATGTCGAAAGCTTTCCTCAGGAGGTCAAGACCAGTCAAGACTCAAGACTAATCATCGCCCTTTGCAATCGCAAATTGAAACGGGCGTCGGATTGCCTGGGAAAGGTCGATCTCCTTAAGAAGCCAGTCGTTAATGCACAGTTCGAATGAAATTATGGAATGTGCTTTTCGTTCGCATATTTTTAAGTCCCATAATTGCAGTGTAGACAAATGAATCTTCCAAGCCATTCCATATCAGATTGCGATGAAATTCTGGAACGTGCGGTAACATGTTAAGGGTTTCTATTTTTTATCTTTCAATACTCTCTCAAAGAGACATAAAATCATAAAATTATCTATCTTAAACATTCGTGTCATTGTATATCTTTGATCGTCGGCTTACTAATGCTTGAGTAAATTTAAATGAACAGACACTTCTATACTTAATAGCTCTAAGGAATGTTAAGAAAAAATTGTTGGGAATAACATAAATAAAGTAAACTGCCCACGTCAGACAGATCAAGGCAAAATTTTGCCTTTGAAAAGACCGAAAGTGCTACCTTAGAAAAAGAGTTATCGATGCCAATCTACTTGGATTCGTATAGTGTAGGTGTTGGTTGCGTGACATTTGTTACCTTTGGGTCAGTATATACTGTACACATACGAGTCTCGTGCTGGTGCGCTGGAATGCCGTCTTCTGCGATCGCGCACGTACAGGCGCACGTCAGTACGCAAGTATGCGTCAGAGATCGCCGTCTCTTCGATTGGAAGTGAACCAAGTGAAAGATCTCGAAAAGGAAGGCGATTAAGGGGGAATGGGACCTTGAGCGCGGTCAGCCACTGGAAGAGCTTCGGAGGCTGAAGACCGCGGCTTGGGATCGCCATATTGTTGTGACTAGTAAGCTTTGCTGGACCCCGATCGGCTATCCACCACTTATAACAGGCGTATGTGCGCTGCTCACGGCGCCGGATCGATCGTAAATGTCGAGTAACAATATAGGATACATGATAATTAACGGAAGAGAGTTGGGAATCGTCGAGCTGGCGCTAATACAATAGATGCATTCTCGTTTGCTTATTCTATCCCGGATGCGATTATATATCGTGCAACGCTGCGTCTTGAATAAAGAGCTGCTATCAAATTATTAACATTGCAGTCAGCGAGTGTTTTTTGAAGAAATTCCGAGAAATTCGAATTCGCCAAAGCTGCACGCTAATCTCATTCAGCTTCAAAAGAATTATAGCTTTAGCAACTTGTTTCCTAACAAGTAACTTAGAATGTTATTGCCTCCAAAGTCTTCCAGCATACGTATACGTATAATGGCGTGAGAGAAAAGACTCTCGAGTCGTTGTAAAATGACGTAATGTATTTTCACGTACCTGGGTTCGCGCGCGGCGAAACGGTGGGTGTAATGGATACCGTGAGACTTTTTACGACTTTATATTTAACGGGGTTGAGGAACGTACGTCCATCGGTTTGTTGGAAAAATGGTCGGTTAAAACGTTGTCGGCACCCGGCAACCCGAAGGCGCCTGACCGTAAAGTTTCGCGTTTAATACGGACTTCGCGGACGGCAGCTTCGACTGTTCGTTAGCAATCCGCGCGAGCATCGCCGCCGCTCACTGCCAGGCGATTCTCGAATTATTCTTAACGGTTTTGTTCTCACACCCACCTGGCCGGCGGCCGGGAATCCACGTTTGAGCGCAGGAACGCCGACCGTGCCGATTAGAAACCGCGTCGACGGAATTTCCTTATTTCCCGCTTTGCACAAAGCGTCCGGCTACGGTAAAGTCTCGGGTGAAGATCCACCGATACCCTCCTTATCGTACGATTCGCTTCATGAATCGCGCTGTTCGCGTTGCAAGAAAAAAAATGAATGAAAAGGAAATAGATGCGGTAAAGACAATGTCGAAATCGCGCAGGAAGGAAGGACTCGTCATTAGAAAATTATATATCGCTTCTAACGTTACAGCGTCCAACGTGCGTGATCGGTGCATCTTTGATAAAGTATTATGCAAATTAATTATTATACCACTGCTTATTATTTCTTATTATTATCCAACTCGTAATTGCTTCTATTATATAAACTGCCTTTTTCCTTCGGAATGTTTCTCGACAGCTGCGTATTCATTAACTTGAAGAAAAGGACATGTGAAGTGTGCTAGAAATACTATATCCCGATTAGTGGAATGTTTTTGATCTCTCATCGAGTGTATATCACGTGCGAATTATTACCATCGCTCGACTGGCACCTGATTTCCGGTATTTCTACAGCGAAATTACCGTTTTCTCGATCGAACATTGATCTATCTTGGCGAGATAGACATTTTTCAACTTGCGGCGAAAGATGACGAGCACGTGTGATAACATATTTCTCTTTAAATAGTTTTCTCGGACGGCATGTATTACGCAAACAGGTATCTCATTGAAGTCAAGTGCATTCATGTCTATAGAAAATGGAGAGCTTTCCTGGTGTGGTGTTTAAGTAGAAATAAATTATATGGGGCTCGAACCAACAAGCAGAAAAGGAGAGAATATCAGAAAGATGTCTTGATTAAGATCTCGTGCATAGTATCGTGAAGAGGAAACGCGAATATCTAGTCATTCGTGCGAAAATATCACAGAATGCAATGTTGGAATAAGAATTTCTCCCTGCGAGGAAGGCGCGCCGCTCTACACGCCTTTGTCTCGATTCGCGACCTGCCTCCGTTTTGAATGCATTCGCGCCCGCGCGAAACCTGAGAGCTGTATGGGCGCGTAACGCAAGGTGATTAATGCGTAACCTTTATAAAACTTGACGGTGACGTGCTACGTTAGCGTGGGCGTGTGTACCGGGTGTCCTCCGGCACTCTAGAGTTTTTTCGTAATTTTTTTTTACAATAATTCCTGCATTTGACGAATGGAATAATCGTAACGTTTCCCGTTGGTCGCGAAAAAATAAAAACATTGGTGGCGCCATCAAAAGCAAAGTCAATTAATTAATTAGTGACTCAAGGTTGCGCCGATTGATGACGATGCTAACTTGTTTTACGCAGTTAGCCTTAATAGGCTCAACCAACTGATTTGTTGCTTTTTGCTATTAGCAAATGCATCTCTAATCGTTCTGTGTTGGCCTCGCATTCTTCCGTTAATTAGATAAATTGCGGCTTTATTGATTCAAATCGTATTTTAGGTTTAATTAAAGTTTAATTAGCGTATAAATTAACTTACCGTTTTTAACGAACACATCTTTCTTGATTGCAGGAGGCGATTCTTCCGGCTTCACCGTCAGCTCACTGGAATCATTCATATCTGCGTTGCTGCAACAGGTCAGAGATGATTTTTTTTTATCTGCTTAAAAGGGAATAACTGTTTTTTTTTTTCATTTTGTCACGATAAGTAAAAGCAAAATAATTTTATGTAGCTATTTTAAAAAAATAATTATGTATCCTATTACACGCGCGCGCGTTTCAACGCTAGGAAAATCTATTAAAAGATTTAATAAACAGCAATCGCTGTTCGAATGGTTTGAGAAGTGATTGCAGCGTCATGCAAAGAAGGAGAGATCGCTTTTCAAAGCAATAAGCAAATGTCGAGCATTTGCATGGAGGCGTTCACCTCGTGGGACGGCCGAGTCAAACGACTGTTCGATTCTCAGTAATCGACAACCTTCTTTTCTATTCTTAGAACGGTCAATTAACCTTTTCTCCATGTGCCGCAAACGGCTGGTAACCCATATCCATAAAGAAAGTGAATTAATTTCTTTTTAAAGTTCATTCGTTGCATGATGCCGCATCAGTGAGTTCTGTAATAATTTACTCTTTGATACAGTTCTCAGCATTTTATCTCACAGTTAACTGCAACTATTTTATTCATTTTATAAATAAACACGGAATAATTGTAATTAATTTTATGCAATATGTATACTATAATTATTGTTTATTTACGCAAATAAATTAACAATATTAAATTTTGACATAATAATTGAGATGCAATGTGGTGAAAGTAAATATACATAAATCGCGTTTCTCTAAAAACAAACATTCTAAATTCTCTATACCAGAATCTCTTTCATAACTGTAGTCTTTGAATAATAATATTTGTGTTATTACTGAAATATACAATTGCAAACTTACGCATTCATATATTCTAAGGAGGTTTCCTCCTCTTCGCCGATCGTAGCGAGATTACTTTGCCAGTAATAATCGCCGTCGTCGCTTTCGTCAGTGGTGTCTTCTTCTTCTTCTTCTGTAATTTCTTCGTTCTCTAATATTTGATTTATTTCCGGATTCTTTATATCGTCGTTGACCACGTCGAGCGATTGATAAGTTTCGTCATCCTCGTTATCTCGCATCGTTGAATTATCGACCGATAAAATATCTTCTTCGATCGTTGGAAACACTTCCTTAAAATTATCCCGATCATTTGTTCTATTTTCTTCTTGATGACAACTTTTCGAGTTTATACAGTTTTCTCTTTCATCGTTTGACTCGTCAATGAGCTTGTCAGTTGATTCTAAGATCGAATTTTCATGCTCTGAAACTTTATTCGAATTATTCGTAGGCTGATCTTGTTCGTTTCTATTAATTACTTCGTTGTTTATTTTATTTTGCTCGCAATTCACAGTTTCTGTTGTGTTATTCGATTTATTTTTTGCAATTTCCTCCTTCTGATCAGACTGTAAACCTTTAGCCATTCTGATTTCGATAATTTCAAAGACTTTATTTGTTTGTGTATTTTCTTCTGAACTTGCAATTTTATCTTTCTCGTTATTAAAGCAAATGTTTTCCATGTCAGATTCTTTATCGAGGCTTTTATCTGAACTTTCGATTCTTTGACTCTTTTCGTCAAGGATATTATTTTTATTTGGTGACGAATTGCATACTTTCTGTTATGTGATTAGACTCTATCGATGGTGAAGGTTTAATTTCTCTTCGCGGTGTTATAATTGGAGGTGGAGGTGGCGGAGGTGGTCTCTTCCGCCTAGCTTTAACATCTTTTCTCGGTAATGGTTTCGGTGGTAATATAGGAGCTTCTGAAAGTTCTTTTTCGGAAGAAACAGGTACCGTTGCGGAAATTCGCGGCCGCGCCTCGTTTCCCGATTCGCTCGTTTGCATCTGGTTCACGCAGATCCTATTAATGTGATTTCTAGCCGGCAACGGCGGTGGCGACGACCTGTCTCCGTTGCTTCTCCCCGTGCCGGAAACGTAGGTCGCTTCGTGGAATTCCTCGTGGTTGCCGTTGACGCGCTCCACGAGCTCCACGTCATCCTTAATTGGCCTGAAATGCGTCGTCGAGTCGGCAGCCAGGTCGGCCGTGTAGAAGAGATCCGGCCTGGCCTCATGTCCGTAACTCAGCGGGGCGTCCTGAAAGCTGAGTGGCGGCTGAAGAGTGATCGTTTCCTCGATCAACACCGTGTTTGGTGCGACGACCGCTGTAATCCGTTCGACTTCGCCGCGCGATTCCACGTGCGTCACCGCTTCAGAATTGGCAAGACGGCGGAGCAGGTAATCTGGCGGATTCGAGAAGTCCCGCTCGAGATGCTCGAGTGGACAGATCGCTCGCGACAGCAGCACATCTCGATCGGATGATCGGTCGAAGTCCCGATCGGTGCCCGAGAATTCGCTTGGCTGTTCGGAACCTGCGGTTGACGCTGTGGACGTCGTGGATATGGTCGACACGCGATCGGACGTCGAGAATCTGTCCACTACGGTGGACATGGAACTGCCGGTATCATCGGATGTGCTGCCATGCGTGGAGCCGCATTGTGATCGCGCATCCAGATAAACCATTGCTTCCGGTGGTTCCTACAAATATAAGAGACATTTTTTTCACACCTTTATAGCATTTATTTTTAATTCAGTGAATTTAACAAATTTATTTAAAAATATTTTTAATCTATTTGATTTCTTTATCGTGATTACAACCTGCTTCGACTTCACGGATTCCGACGAACGGTCCTTCGGCGATTCCTTCAGGTTCTCCTGATTCGATCCGTTAATGTTTCTCGGCGAAGACTCGTAACTCTCGTACGAGTTTATTTTGGTTTCGCATTGTAATCCGACTTGTGAAATTGATGAGCCATTCTGCACGCCACTTTGCGATCCATTCTGCAATCCATTTTGAGATTTCGAATTGTCCAATAATTTTTTGATAGGACTAGGATTTGCCTCGCCGTCCGCAGATCCTCGAGGCTGTCTCAGTTTTCTTGGTGGTACAGGCGGCGGTGCTGCGGGTAATTCTGGAGGCACTTTGCTTTTTTCGATTTTTCTCTCGGCGCTCACCACTTCCGGTCTAAGAGCGCCACGACATCTCACCATCAACCTGATGACCAGTTGCGACTCCTTCAGTCTTCTCACGCAATCCAATCGGGTCATGTGTGTCACCGGTATACCGTCGATTGAAAGTACCTGCGAGAGACATAACGTGATTGTCAAGTACAAGGAAGAAACGTGGAGAAGAGCTTATGCTCGCGATAATTTGCAATGTAAACAAGTAATAGAGGTGAGAGGAAACCTCTCTTGAGGATCATTAGGGAGGAAGTAGGTCTTGAAAATCATAGACGGTGAAATGCACCGTGGGAGCTAAAGAGAGTGCGTTTGTGTACCGTCTTATCTTGCAGCTGTTCCATGAAAGAAAAATATGCTATATATGCACATCAATATCGCTGTCTCCTAACTTACGATTTTCATTTTATTGACAAACACTCTAATAAATTTAAAGTCGACTTTTCTTTAACATACGAAAAGAACGGTTTTACTTAAGTATCTAAAAATTTAGCTAAATATTGATTTGAAAATAATTTTATTGGATTATTAAAATTTGTATAGGATGCTCAAGCTGGTTACTAAAATGTCACAATTTTTGCTCAACATGCTTGACTTTCTTATTATTTTGAATTCAACAAATTATTTTTAAATCTGTATCTAGCTAAATTTTTAAATACTTCAACAATATTTTTTTGTACAAATTAAAATATTGAATATACGTTGTCGTAAATTTATGCGAAAAAAATTTTTGCCTCTTCTTTTTTTCTTTCCCTCATTCATTCAGGTTGCTGACATTACGCCACAAATGCAAACGTCGTGGTTAGATGCATGAAAATAATTATACCGTCAGTCATTATACCGACATTGGAATACCAGTAAGAATCTACCGTTCTATTGTGATCTTTATCAATTACAAAAGAAACTTGTCGATTCTGTAATTGAAAGCGACATGTATGATGCGCGAAAGATTTCACGTGCCGTTAAGATTGAATGAAATTGTACATGTTCATGAATGTTACTTTCTTGAATTTATCACATGCATTACAGCACAAAATATCACGTCAGCGAAAGCAGATCCGTGTTAACGCTCGGAAAACAAGATCAAGAAAATATCGTTTGTATACATCTATTGTAAGAATCGTAGTATCTCTCGTGTTCATCTAAGAATTCTTCTCTCTCGAGAAAATAAATTAAAAAATCAATCTATAATCCGCATGAAATGCTTAGCGTTTCGGATTATCTTTATTACCTCGTCTCCTTCGCCTAAGGTGCCCCACGAACATTTCGCTCTGCTGGCTGGACTTTGCTCCGCGCAGCTCTGCACAAACAGTCTTCTAACTCTCTCAGCAGTCTTGTTACCGCCTTCAAATTTGAGTCCAAAACCCAAACGTTCTCCGGGTAATCTAAAAACCTCGACTTCTTCTTCGAGATGCCCGTCCATACCGTTCGACAAACTCTTGCTCGCCGCCGACGATTCCTCATCGTCTTTCTTCCTATTGCCGATCGATAGAACGGTCACGAAGTTTTCCGACATCGGCTGACTGCCGACGCTGACCACCGTCACGAAATCTTCTATTGTGCCCTTGGCTACATCCATTTTTTGGATTGATCTTAATTCATGGCAAGTTCGCTGATATTTATGCTCCACTGGAATGCTGACCACTCCCTGAAAATAAATCAAATCATTGTCGACTATTCTGTGACATGGCGTAATTGAGAGACAGGTTCTTATCGAGGCGAAACCTGTTTGATTCTAACTCGTAAAGAATTATTTATGATCGCGTGGAGTAGAAATCAACAAAACGATCAATACAATCAACTATATTATTTATAGATTATGACAAAGCCGGAAATTTGAGCACTTGCCCGAGAAAATTTGTAATGTTTCTCGTCGTCGCCAGATGGTTATTTTCTAATCGTATCCATTTACTAGCGGAATCCATCAGCAAATAGATACCGGCAGACGAATCGTGTCACATAGTACCGAGGATCGCGGACAATCATCGAGCGACTGCACACCGGCTTAGTCGCGTGACCAACTTAATACGGAACTCTCATGTTCTCTTCGTACCTGCTGGTTTTACTGATTACGCTATTACATATAGATAGCAGCGGGACAAATTATAAACAAACAAGGCACGTGTCGATATAAATTACATTCTGACGCGAAACATTTGTACACTACGACGAAGCGCTAACTGTAACTTGTATTCTGTTATACTTGAAATTTCATTCGTCACGATTGACCTCCGCTCAAGTGGAATTTTATATATTTCATCGTTTCTCGATGTAAATATTCCTAAAATTATATTTACGTCCACATTACGCGATTAGTAATGGCATTCGAGTCTATCTTCGCTTCTTGTAAAGTTTCATGCAATTCAGTCGCCGTAAAGTTTTATATTGCTTCCAATATCAAAGGCAGGAATTCTTGGAAATCTCGAAAGGCTTTCGATCGAATATTTTTTTATCGCTTGCTTTCAACGTAGATACTGTTAGATATCTCAAGCGTCGACAAATTACAAAGATAAATTTCCCACGTCGCAAACTTTTCGCGATGTGGCTCTCCGGTTGTCATAAACATTCTTCCAAGCCATGGAGACTCTCCAAGTATTCCGACTAATAAATCTTCCCTCTTATTTTTCTCTCGCAGGCAGGTGAACAACGAGCACCGCCTCTATCCGTTTTCACCCATCAGCATCCCGATAATTTAACGATATGTATACCGTCCGTCGCTGTGAAAGTATGTCCGCTTCCACTCGAAGGCATCGTGCATAGCCCCCCGTCGCCAATATCACCTCTGATCTCGGCAGAATGTGAGAAGTAGAAAGTAGATTGACCTGGGGTCACTGTCGAGCAATCAGCTGATCGTGAAGGTTTCGATGACGATTGTCAAATGTATTCCAATTCTCTCCTCTTTACATATCCTGTCTCTCATTAATGAGGATCTTGAAGGATCTTATTACAAACGTTGTTATTTCATATGCAGTACATTTTATCAGTAATGAATAATTATTTGTTCAATATTCACACTATTAAATTATCACCCAATTATAATGTTAATAGCGTTCTATTGTTAAAGAAAATAATACAATCAACGTCACAATACAATCGAATGATATTTAATAATGTGGATATTGAACGACTAATTATCCATTACTGGCAAAGTGTACTATATATGAAATAACCGTATTTATAATGAAATTCAAGATTCTCATGAATTGATTAACGAGTAAAGAATTTTCTACTGGAGTGAACAAACTAATCGAGTGCATCGGTAATGATTTTTTATGTCGCGTGCAACTCTAGAATTAATTTTCTTGTCGGAAACGTGAGTTGATTTACTTTTATGAAATATTCGTTCTTTGATCTTGCACCTGCAATGCATGTAGAGATCAGAGAGAACCACTGCATGCATCTTGGTATACGTATATTTCACATCTTTCATCGATTATTATACCGTGATTTATGGTTAATTTCTCGTTATGTTACACGTGTTACAAATAAGATGCGTATTTGCTCAACATTTTTACTTCACGCGTCAGTGATATTACGATCGTTAAATCGGTGTCGAAAATCGCAAGATA